TTTCATTTTATTAATCTCGTCTTGTTGTTTTCACTTCTATCATTTGGTATGAAGCACACACCTTGGTTTTATATTTTTTATTATTAATTGTATAAATTTGATATGTATTTTATTAATGTAAATAATTTATAAAGCATAAATAAATACATCAATAAAGGTGGCTACACTGTTTCAGTGCTTGGCTTTGGTCTGTTCCTTCGTGGGGTCCATTATAGCATTATTGGATATTAACTGATATTGCTTTGGTACCACCACGATCCCATAGCAATAATACTTAAAGTTTAAAAACAAATTAGCCCTAGTGGTCATTGATACATATAAATTCAATATTGGTTTTAACTATACATTGATTATATTTTTTATTCATGTTCATTTTTAATATGATTTGATTTGCAATTTTATTTCAGTCTTTATCCCTTTTTTTCAAATAACTAGCTTGTCTTTTATTTTCACATATTAATTTATCTCACCTTTCACTTGGACAAAAATGAACAAGATATAAATATGGGACATAGTGTCATTGGAAAATATTAAATAAAAGTATAAAAATGATAAATCATGATGCAATATTTCATAAGTGATATAATACAATTTTCTGTTTCAGTACCCAATGTATTCAACATAGAGAAGTTAATAACTTCAACAATGATCTTCAGGTTCAAGAGCAAGCTCCTGACAGTCAGGATCTGGTGGAGAAAATGCCTGGTAGTAGTAGTAATGGAATGACCTTCAATAACAAGACTTTATTGTAAAATAAATGTCTTATTTCTGAGAAATAATTCCAGGTAATTATTTTTTTAAATATTGTGATACTAAATGATTAGTAGTTAATTGACATCAAGAAATTATTAGAAAAAACAGGTGATAAATAATCAGGAAGCAGTCATTTTAAGAATTTTTATTGTTGCAGACATAGGTCCTATAACTACTAGGGGTTCCCAGGGCTTGAGCAACCCAATGCCGCCATGGTGGGGGTCTTGGCCCCCCAACAAATTGCTATAATATGAACTTCATGAAAATGTGTACATTGCCATTCCGTTATAAAGGACTATACCTATCTAGTAGCAGATATAGTTGTATTGGTTTAACGGTGTCCTATTGTGGATTCATAAACTCACTTAAACTAAAATGAATCACCTGTTAAAATAAAACTATTTTAGTTTAAAGTATTTTGTGTGACTCAACACTTTTGTTATCAGGAAGGGCTTGAAACAACTCAATACCTGCTCGAGGTGGTAATTATTCATATATTATATATTATTGAAGGCTCAGTAAGGTATGCAAACATTGTTGCATTTCTCAGGATAGGAAAGACAGCTCTAATATTGGATCCAACTGTCCGCTTTGAGAGCAATGATCTCGATCAGGCGGTTGAAGTGGAAAGGGAAAAGAAAACTTTATATGATAAATGTATCCCTTTTCTAAAAGAGAAGTTCATTGAAACCTTCAGAGAGAGAGTTTATTATGAGAAGCCTCTGGTTTAAGTCTTGCTGAACGATCCCAAAAAGAACAAGTAGCTTCCTCGAGGAACTAGGTGTTGATGTTGGAGAGCTTGCGATATTGACCATGAATATTATTCTGGACTCCCTAGGGATCATCCATTATCACTTGTATGGTAATTGACTGTGAATTTATTATGTCTTTTGTCATTTATCTATTTAGTTATTCAATTTTAATTTTTATCTATATTCATGGAATTGTGTTCTATATGTCTGTGCGATTTAGTCTAATATTTCTAGCATTCAAATACTTTTTTTTTTGTTGAGAAAGTGTATGTGTTATATAATGGTAATTATTTAATGTGGTTTATTAGTGATATTGTATATGACCAGTGTTATGAAAAGGGAGGAAAAAAATAATATATGCTTATAAATTAATGGAATAATATAATATAAGGGCTATTTCCATGTGGTTGATCTGTATGCTGTGTTTAAAGCAACCCTAAGTAGTAAGACAGCATTACTTTCAATAAAGTATTTTTCTCTCTTGTATATGTATATATTATATATTGCATATAGGTATATAATATATATTGCATATGGGCATATATAATTATTTTTTTTCTATTGATTTTATTTAGGCCAGATGTAATCTTTTAATTTTGTTCTATTTTGTTATTCTCAAGGAACTTTGTCCCAGAATAGAGTTATTTTCTGTCTATTTATCTATAATGTATAGCATAAAGGCATATGTTATATACTGCAAATAATCATATATTATATATTGCATATAGGTATATAGGACATATTCCAAACAATATCCCCATCCCGTGATCCTATAATTTGGCTTCCCAATAATTTTCAAAAGTCGGCGCCTATCGTTGGAGATGTTTCAACCCAAACATGTGGGTAATCATTAGGGCTGAACATTTTCATTATAACAGAGATATAATAAATAAAAACAGAAAATAATTAGTAACCATAACTAGTGATGGATGATACATGAGAAAACAAGTGGAATACTTAATAAGTTATATAAATTATAAAATAATATATAGTATTCAACGTGTGGAGATGCTATATTTGTGTTAGTAAATTTGTTTGTTGAGATAATTTTTGGTTTCTCCTATATAGAAATAATTGCAGTCTAGGCTAGAGCATGTGATGCAGTATATAATATTTGATTGTTAGAGGAGTGTAACATGATCTTTAAGTCTGTGTATAAATTTCTTAATTTACTGTTATTTTTAAACACTATCATCAAATGTGGAAATATGGAAGTTAAGGAATTTCTGATTTTTTATGACAGGACAGGAATATATGGAGTGGTCTGTATTGGCAAATCAAGGTGGGTGATTGAGAGCAATAAGTGTGAGACTGGTGAGGTTGAAGTTTTGATTGATTTTTAATCAGGCTGTTTATTATGCAGTCAGGAAAATCATTTGATTTCAGGATCTTGTACAGTCTAGTTAAGTTGTCATTGGAATTTCGAGTCAAATAGTGTTGAACAGCAGCGAATCAGGTTTTTTTGCTACACTAATTTGGATGGTAAAGTTGCTGGAGAAAAATAATTTAAGAGACAGCCGGAGTAAATGGATTTGGTGTACCAATTGGCAGATAAGGTGCTAACATTATTTCTGGTAATGAGGAGATTAAGGAAAAGAGAGGGCATTGTTGGATTCTATTTCAAATGTGAAACGGAGTCGAGGGTGATATGACTTGAATGCAGAAATGATGTTTGGAATTGCGTAGAGGTTGAGGATTAATAAGAGTCCATATACATATTTTTTAATCACAAAAATATTGTTAGGAAATTAGGGTAATGTTGAGTCTATGAGGTTATTGAGAACAATGTTAGAGAGGTGTAAGGCAATTACCCACCACTAGCCACAGTAATAAAGTAGAGAGAGGGACTGAAGGAATGAGGATTGATTGGAAATAATTCACAATTATAGTAGTAACTATGATTAGTAATTTTTAATTTAACTGATAGTGAAATATACATATGGAAAGATAATAACAAATACAAAATTAAATAAATAATAATATTGGAATTCAGCTCTAAAAATATATATAATTATTTAAGTGAAAATATCGAAAATTCCAGTGAAACAATATAATTCTATATAAAATGAAGCACACAGCATTTATTAAAACATAACATAAAACAGAGAAAATATAATTATAACTTATTTTCAAATGAAACTTCAAAATTCAGATAACAATTTTCATTATTTTTTCAAAAATGTTGAACCTGCATTCTCTGTTCCTTTTATCCAGTTTGTTCCCACTCATTTCATTGGCATTGTATTTAATTTCATTTGTTCTTTTTTCATCACTGTTCGAGTAAGATGTGGTAAATAAAAGAAATTTCTTTTAGGTCGGTAGTGAAATTATCTTCAATAATATGGCAAAAATTCCATATTGCACATCGGCATGTAATCTGGCCGGATATTTTTCTTATCTATTCCCTAAGGTATAGGGGTAATCTTTTAATTTAATATTAAAGCATAGTTTAATGTTAATATTTTTTTTTAAAAATGTGTATTTATTGTTTTAGATGTATTTATTTATGTATATTGTTGACAATTTTAGATTTTACATTAATTTGATAGTTGGAATATAATTTTAACTGTTGACCTTTACCGAATATAATTTTTAATTTATGCTTAAGATGTTGTATGTATAAAGAAATTTCTTTCTGAAAATATATGAATTGTTTTGAATATTCTGTGATATGTTTGTGATTATTTTAGATTTTCAGTAATTTATTTGTAGACGATATTTGTTATTTTTATCAAATAAATCATTGGCCATTTTTGTTTATATATTTTTATTAATGATAATGTACATATTAATTGATTTTGATTAAAGTCTTAGTCTTTTGGACAGATCTTTTTTCTGTTTTATTTTATTTTTATTCTCAAGTGATCTAGTTTACCTTTAATCTACATGAATTCCAAAATGCATTAAATACAGAATGAACAATTACAATTATGCTTGAAATTTTTAAATTAGTAGATCACTTCATATGTTTTGATTATTTTAAGAAAAATAAAAGAATATATAAAAGCATAGATTATCAAAAGAAAAAAACTCATCTTTGCTATCCAAGTTTGAAATATTTCGGAGTTATGAAATTAAATATCTTATTATTCTTAAATCTAAGCTAAGATGAAGATGATAGATAAGATGTTTTCCTTTGAAAATATTTTCTTTATGTAGTTATTGATTTTGGTCTTTGACATTTATCAAGCTGGCTCATGTATAAAAACATACAGCATCCTCTGCTGGGCAAATAAATCCTCATTGTTTTTTTTAGGGCTGTAATGAGGAGTTTTTATGTTCTTTTATATATCTATTTGCTATGAATATGTATATATGTTCTATTGTGTATTCTCAAAACTTGAAATCTTACTAATAGCTCTTTTTCTTTTTACAGATGTGAAATTTCTTTTCTTGGTGAATGGCGTATAGTAAAATTTTTCATGTTTTGCTGAATCTTCAAGAACCCACAAAGAAACAACTGTATCTGCAAAGACTGATGTTTTCACTATAAGCATGTTCATGGATGTTTCACTAGTAATGGATCCTATAATCAATCATATTTCTATAAGTAAGTACTGAGGAAAACTATATCATATATTTGATAAATAATTATGAAAAAATAACTAAGATTCGAAATAATGATGAATGGTTGACCGTGATATAATATGAGAAGGAGTTGATCCGAGGGTGGAGGGGTCAAATAAATACTAAATTATACAAATAGTATTATTTAATTTTTTTGCCGACGTTTCGACCCTCTTTGCAGGTCTTCATCAGAGCGTAGGATGTAGCACTGCGGGAGGCAGTTGAAACACTGGGCAACCAGTTTTTCACAACCAGTGTTTCAACTGTCTCCCGCAGTGCTACATCCTACGCCCTGATGAAGACCTGCAAAGTGGGTCGAAATGTCGGCAAAAATTAAATAATACTATTTGTATAATTTAGTATTTATTTAACCGCACTCCCCGATCAACTCCTCATAAGATTCAAAATAATTTCTCCCTTTTATTCTTTATCAATTTTCTATTAAATATTTTAAATATGAAATGTATTAATAAGTAAATTAAATGAAAAGTAAATTTAATTCTCTGACAGCTATTCCATTTAGAATAGTAAAAATGCAATATTCCAATAAGATTTCTCTAGTTTATAATTATAATTATTAATTATTGGAGCAATGATAAATAATAAAATTATAATGGTGCAGAAATAGTTCACTGACAGTTGAGGATTGCAGTTACAGTAAAAAAACTTTTCCTACGTTTCTGCCCAAATTTCAGGTCTAAAGATAGCAAAAAAACAAAACATACTCGTATTAGCAAGAAATCAAAAAATATATCCACTCTACTAATAAATAAATATTTAGAATAAAAATTATGTGTAAAAGATAAATTAAAATATATAAGTACCACACATACATTTTTAAAATTGTAATGCAAGACGATAATGGACTGTGAGGTAACACATGAAAATATTCTATAACAAGTATATATAAGTAGTGAAAAATAAAATTAATATGGATGATAAATAGTCAGGACACAGTCATTTTTAATGTTTTTTATTGGTGGCACCAATTACCTGACTATTTATCACCCATGATGTGTAGAACAGTAGAGTAACTTCCTTCAATAATTCAATAAAATTAATAATTAATGAATGGAAACTTTGTGGTACGTGAGGGCATTTACAAATTATATAGGCAGTAATAGTAAAAAAGCAATCAAGTAAAACACTGATAAAATAAGAGTAACATTTTAATATTTTCAATAACATATGAATAAACATTATGAAAGTATTTATACATATGTAGGTATATAAAATAAAGGTTATGAACTTATGAAATAAAAGATCATATTATTATTATTAATACTGCCTACTATTTTCTCACTGAAACTTAGGCCGAAATGTGAGCACAAAGATAATAAATATAATTTATTTTTATGTATTCCTATTCCCAACCAACTTCTCTTTAATAATAAGTTTTTACAGTTCTGGAAATGTTGCCAAAAAGACTTGAGCTTTCCCAACTCTGCCAACACTCGAGTCCTAGAAGCTCGGCAGTAAAAGGCTCAAGTTGCAGCTTGAGTCCAATCTTCTCTTGCAGTATATTCTTTCTTTCAAAAGTTTCTTTGGGATCTCATCATTCTTCATTCGAGCAACATGGCCTGTCCAATGAAACCTTCCAGCCCTTATGAATATGACGACATTTGTATTATTATACATTCTTTCTATTTCAGAATTAGTTCTTTGTCGCCAAACGTTATTGCTGAACACTGGCCCAAGGATTCTTCAGAGGATCAGCCACTTGAATCATAGGAGCATTAGTTCTTGTGCTCAAGAAATCGTCCAACGTTCGAAAGCATAGGTCAGAACAGGCCTTATGAAAGCCTTATAAAGCTGCACCTCGGTAATCCTTGAGAGAGATCTACTTTTGATATGTTTCAGGAGCCCGAAATAACATTTGTTTGCAACCGTCTATGGATTTTTTTGCTGCATATTATTCTCGGAGTTCACTTGAGAGCCCAAATAAATAAATTTGTTCACACACTCAAACATGAAGTCACTGGTTTTCAAGTGGGCATTCTGCCGATCTAATGCTTGCAGACCTGCTCTCATATATTTGGTTTTTGACTCATTTATTGTTAAACCCACTCTTTGAGCTGTTTCCTATATAGCGAGAAATGCCTCCTCCATAGATGCCAATCTTCTTCCCCTTATGTCTAAGTCATCCGCAAAACCAAGGATTTGAGCCGATTTGTTAAATAAGGTGCCTCCAATCTGTGCACCTGAGCTTCTAACAGCACATTCCAATGCCATATTAAACAATAAACAGGCAAGGCTGTCACCTTGCCGAAGGCCCTTGTACATTTCAAAATCCTCAGAAACTCCTCCACCTACTTGGAGAGAACACTTCACCTTCTTCGTGGTCATCTTTATCAAACGGACCAACTTTATCATCTACCTATCAAAACATTTAATCTTTAAAAAAGAATTCAGAGGGAGAGGTTGCCCTCCTCTCTCCCTCCCCCCCAAAAAACTAAAGTAAAAACATATCACCCCCTACCCAAACATATTGTCATTTTATCTTTTAAAAAAATTTGGAGGGAGGGTTAATCCTTTACGACTTAAGTCGGAGCTCAAGGCTTGTTTATACAACACTATATTATAATCAATTAAAATAATCATGTAGTAACAGCAAAATGATAAAAACTTTCAGTAGGACGTACTAATTTTTGAAAATTTATTTAAAGTTATTTGGGGAGCGGGGTAGCTCAGTGGTAGGGCACTGAGCTTCCAATGCAAAGGTCCGAGGTTCGAACCCCGGCTCATGACAGAAAATTTATTTATCTGTTTCATTGGCCGTGGGACGACCCTGGGTAGGTAGACACCCAGCCTCTATAAAGTGAGTACCCTTAATTAAATAATTGATTAAGGGAGAAAACCTGGCGGTTGAGCGTGATCTCGGTCAAATCACCTCCTTGGACAAACGTTGACCTAGAAACAGTGCTTTCCCTAAATAGCACTGAACCCCAGACCCTTCATGGGTTGTAGTGGTACCGTTTTTTTTATTTAAAAATAGAAATAGAACTTAAATAAATAGTTTACCTGGACTAAATTGTTTATATATTTTTGTATATTGCATAATGAAAGAAATAAATGGAGATAATATAGCTTGCTCACATGAATATAACAGAAAAAATGTTCTCTTCCAACTTATTAATTGATGTGATGAAGGATTGAACTATAATTAAAATTTTTATTTTATTTTCGTCTTAAATAAATTTTATAATTGAACTTTCAAAGTATTTGGAGAGGAATGTCAGTTTCCATTCAGTGTCATGTGAGTTCACCTTGGTCTGCAATATTCTTGTGGACGAGCTATAATGATTAACTTTATTTTTATTTACTTATTTTTAAATTTCAGATGCTAGCTGCAAATATCCAGACATGACGAAATATGCAATCGTGCACCAAGGGCTTGGTTGCTACAGCTCTTCATGCCCTCTCATTGCGACACCTTTTCTAATTATGTTAATGAAATTTACCTTGTAGAAGTATGAAAAATGTACTATGTAAAAGTATGAAAAAAAAATTCTATTCATGAAACCAAAGAACTTATATTTTAGTTTTAACTCTCACATTATGGATAACTTTTATCCTTTACTGAGATCCTTTTTACTCCATTGAGTCCAAGATTTGTGTTAATAAAATTTTATTTAACAATAATGATTATTTTACTTTATGTTCATTCTATGTACTTCATTTTATATTAAGTTGTTCTACTAAAAATTATTAGCCTATATCTTCACCTTTTTTAATCTTCATTTTGTATTATTCAATGTTATTGTACCTATTGTTATCTGATTATTTTTCCAGCCCTGATAAAGGCATGAACTTTGGGCCGAAACGTCAGCGAATGTAACAATAAATAACATTATCTATTTTTTGCCATTTAAATTTGACTGATCACTCCAACCATCCTTCTTTTCAATAATGATTATGGTAAATTAATATAAGTAATTAGTTTCATTAGTGTGATCTTTCAGGTTTGTTACCTAAATATAGTGGTGATTTGGGTTCATAAATAAACCCAAATGTTTATGTAATTAGGTTTTGATGAAGAACAAACCTAAAATGAAATATAAAAAGATTTTTATAAAAAAGAAAGTGCGATTATCTAACTTACAGTTTTGTCCTTATCTACTATAATAAATAAAAAAGGCAATTTAAAATTAAGTTTAAAAAAAAATTTAAATTTGAATTTGTAAATAACAAATATAATTATTACTGAAGATTGTCAATTCATCCACTATTATTTATGATTTAATTGTTATTATTTATATGAAATAAATCTTATTTTGTAACAGTGATACAATCACAATCTGAAGTGTATCAAAGTAAAAATTGTGATCCATAGAATAAACCTTTAGATGTAACGCCAGCATACACAATTATCTGAGACATCAAAGCAAGTACTGTTTTTTTTTTTTTCATTTCAATTTTTTTACATTAATTGTACACTTCATATAATATTTATGGAGTGGGGAATAAACATCTATAAAGTAATTATGAACAAATAGAATTTTTATTCTATAAACTGTTATAATTATAATTTCTGTAATACAATTTTCCATTTTATTGTTCCAATTAAAAGCATAAACTTAGTTATCCACAGTTTTCTTTGTAGTTTAAGGATTGATTTTCTAGTTACTAGAAATTTTTAAGTAAAATATTCATCACCGTTGAACAAATCAACTTTCTTAATGTTCAAGATATGTATGATGGATTGTGTATGTTGGATGATTAAGGGACTTTTCTTCATGAGTAGGAATATTGTAACCGACGAGCAAGTATCTTATTTTTTGTTCAACAAACACAAGATTAATATACAACTAAGAAGAAACATGAATTTTGTTATATCTTAAAGAAATATAAATTAATTCATCAGTTTTGCTGTTGTAGAAGATCTATTTTATGAATTGAAAATTATTAGTTTTATGTACTAAACATTGTCTTATCAGTTCAATACATTCTATATCTATAATTCATAATTTGTTTTTATGTATATGAATTTAACTTATGTACTTGTATTCTTTACTTAGTAAATATATATTAGAAATGAGAAAAATGTAGTGTAATTTAAATGGTTATTTTTATTTCTCTTAAATGCTGTTTGTAATTTTGTAAAATAAATAATAAATAAACTTGTGTAAAAGTTTTATATATTACAACCCTAATATCCCACAATAAGAAATAAAATTTGAACTTCAGACACTGTTAAACACCCTAAAGTTTGCATTGAGAATTGTATTTCGCAATAAAATAACAAATGAATCTTGATAATTTGTTCCATGATTTAAACCGCAGTTAATCAAATTGTTCTTTAGTATTAACAATCAGCACAAGATAATTTTCAGAAAGTATTTCTAAAATGTTAAGATTTCAACTATCAAAAGATTTTTAATGAAAGCCAGTATCAAAATTTAAAAGAAGAACATTGAGAAAACAGAATGAATTATTCCTAATGAATATGAATAATTTGAAAGATAGAAAATTGTAGAAACTTACCTTCAACATTTGAAAAACTGTTTTGGTTTGAATAAGATATAGATTCAGAAGATATAAATATGTAGTTAATGATACATACAGAAATGAGTATCAGTGTTTGATTAAAAATAAAGAATAGGGTAAACTAAAAACAACTCTTCACAGAAATACATTTATTTGTAATCTTCTAATATGTTTTAGCATATAAATATATAATAAAACTACTACATATAACATAATACTTATAAATACAGTAATAGTTCACATAATACTTATAAATAGTTCACTGTCGATGTCACTAGATCTATTCAAAACATCTTCACTCACTCTATACACTTAAGCAAATATATTTATTTGCATTCGTCTATTATGGTTTACTATATATTTAAAAATACATATCAGTATTTATAAACACAGTTCACTGTTGATACCTCTAGATTCATTCAAAACTTCACTTCACTCACTATATCCACTTTTGAGAAACTAGCGATAAATAATTAAACTAAATTCTGTAATTTCTAATAAAAACGATATTAAAAAATAATATATTATTTAAAACATTACAGAACAGACACTAACTCAAAGCATATGTAATTTCCAACTATATGCTTCCAGGGGAAAACAAATAACACCACTTATTTACAGACAATTTTAACTTTTTAACACATTATGACATGAAAGAATCATACACTAACTTATGCTATATAGCAGCTAAGAAAATGTAGTTCAGAAAGAAAACATTTCATAGAATTTATAACACGCAATTTTAACTTATTAACATATTATGGAAGGTTGTGGAGGACTGCTGCGTTAAGAATTAAATTAATAAACATTTAAACAATATAACAAGGCGAGAATAACAATTTTAGCGATCGTTTTTAAGTTTAAACGAATTTTTAATAATAGTTTTCATAACCCTATGAAGGTAGACGCACTATCAAACATCAAACAGTTTGAATAATAGTTTAAAAACCCAATAAAAGAGAGCAGCACCATCCAATAAACGTATAAGATGAAATATTAGTTTCAAAATCTGCTAAAAGAGGTCAGCACTATTCAGGGAACACGAAAACGGTATTTAGTTCAAAATATCGCCACAAGATAGCAGCACCTTCCAGAGAGCTACTGTAAGGAACGTGAAACTTGAACGTAGTTCCTAAATTGCCGCAAGATAGTAGCACTATCCAGGGACCCACCTTCGGAAATATACTTGGACGTAGTTCTTAAAACTGCCGAAAGAGGCCAGCACTATCCAACAAGGTTAATAAATCGTAGTTCTTGTGTTCTGCCAACAGATAGCAGCACTACAAAGACTCCTGGTCGACTCGAAAAGTGAGCTCCTTCGACTTCCCGCTATCCTGATACAAATCGACAATTTTCTCGCTAGAAATTCGACTAAAATTCGTAGTTCCTGTATTCTGCCAACAGATAGCAGCACTACAAAGACTCCTGGTCAGCTCGAAAAGTGAGCTCCTTCGACTTCCCGCTATCCTAATACAAATTGACAATTTTCTCGCTAGAAATTCGACTAAAATTCTTAGTTCCTGTGTTCTGCCAACAGATAGCAGCACTACAAAGACTCCTGATCGACTCGAAAAGTGAGCTCCTTCGACTTCCCGCTATCCTGATACAAATCGACAATTTTCTCGCTAGAAATTCGACTAAAATTCGTAGTTCCTGTGTTCTGCCAACAGATAGCAGCACTACAAAGACTCCTGGTCGGCTCGAAAAGTGAGCTCCTTCGACTTCCCGCTATCCTGATACAAATTGACAATTTTCTCGCTAGAAATTCGACTAAAATTCGTAGTTCCTGTGTTCTGCCAACAGATAGCAGCACTACAAAGACTCCTGATCGACTCGAAAAGTGAGCTCCTTCGACTTCCCGCTATCCTGATACAAATCGATGAGTTTCTCGCTAGAAATTCGAATAATATTCGTAGTTCCTATGTTCTGCCAACAGATAGCAGCACCACCGGTATCAGGACAGCCCCGAAAAGTGAGCTCCTGTTATATTCTACCTTCCTGATACAAAATAAAGATTTTCAGCTCGGAATTCGTGCGTCAGACACTTCTGGAACCATTTTTTTTTTGTTTTTCTTGTTTATTAAGGCTGGAAATTGATCGGGTATATTGAAAATACGTTAAAAAAATTTAAAATAATTCCTTTTTTTCTTATTTCACCTTAAATCTACATATTTTCACCATTTAATAAATTTTATAAGAGAACCTTGTTTATTTCAAGTGAATCGATCAAAATATTTTAGAATTGTTTGAAAAATTCAAAATGCTTCCTATTTTTTCTCATTTCGTCGAAATATCAAAAAAATAATGATAAATCTTCTAATTAGATGTTATTTTCAACATGTATTAAATTAATACATTTCTTTCCTTGTAATGTCTATTTTTTATACTACAGTTTTATTTTCTTGTGTATTCATGCTGTGAATCAATCAAAATATTTTAGAATTGTTTGAAAAATTCAAAATACACCATTTATTAAATTAATATTTTACTTTCCCTTTTCTTATATTATATATTTCTTAGATTGACAAGTATGAGGTTGACTCATATTTTTTATATAATATATTCATTTCGTTTTCACATTGTCTTATATCTTGTCCTAAAAAGGATGATTCCGAACAATACACTGCCTTAAAAAAAAAAAACATTTTTCAAGGAGTGATGTTTTTACTGTTCTTATATGAGAAAATCAGAAGTTACAATTTCCTATTTACAAATAGATTGGTTGTTATGAAACTAAAATTTGATGAGTTCATTCTTTTTACAGATCATCGACGATATATTATCTTTTAGTAAATATAACATACTCAGTCAGTATGCTTAATTTATTTTATTTAAATATCTAATTAAGGATTGTTAACTGAGTAAATTATAAGTAAAATTAAAAAGGGAAAGGAATAGATGGATTTGGGTAAGGGAATTCTTCAGGGAAGAAAAAAATAGAAAAATTAATTTTGTTTAAAAATACATTTATTTGAAACAAAATACATCAAATCTTGCAATTATTGTACAAAAGCACTCAAGTATGAGCATAAGAGCAAAAATATATAGAAAATTGTTCCAATATTTGGTATAATAGAATAAAAAAAATCTAAACAGAATTATAAATTTGCCATTTCTATTGAATGATCTTCAGTACAAATATATTTTTAATTTATCTTATATTATGATAAAATAATTTCAATTATTCATGAAAGTATTACATAATCTTGAAAAATCTAATGGAAATATGAATAACACACAAATATATCTTTCAATAAAAGTATTATTAAGAGTAGAAGTAAATATAAGATTTGCTAATTTTAAGTTTTGGGGAAGATAAACCCTTTTCTTTTCAAACACTTCTAAATGTTTTTCTGAAAAAGGATTATTTTACTTATTCTCTTATTACCTTTTGTTAAGTATACATACTTATCATCTCATCTTATTGATTCAACTTGATGTAATACTTATTAAAATATTCTTTATTTATTTTATAATAATTACAAGTATTAAATAACAAGAATAATTACAATACCAATAATTAAATTATTACAATAATGATCTAATGATTACAGGAATTAAATGACAGAAATAATTATAATAATAAATTCAAAAACTAAGCAGGAAAGTTCTTATCCAGACTTCAAATCATTGCCCTGATGATGACCCACATGTTTGGGTTGAAACGTAGGCAAAATCAATAAACACTTTTTTGGACTGCACATCCTGACCATTTTTCATTTACAATTTCAACAGTCAACTATATATCTATCGCCAAAATACAAAAACTAAATAACATCAATAGTTTCTATAATGATTACAAGAATCAAATGACAAGAATAATTATAATAATTAAATGTAACAAAAAATTACAACTATACGACATGAACAATTTTAATGCCTCTCATTAAATGAATTTCTCTTTTGATTCTGCCTTCATTATCTTCAACTTCTTTAGTTAACTTGTCTCCATATATATTGAAAAGTATACAGTCTCATTCAGGTGTTGGAGGTGTTGCTTGTTTCTCAGAGTGGTGGTTCCAGGTCTCTGATTAAGAATACATAGGTGAAGACTGCATGCCACCGATTTGGAGTCTTGAAAATATTCATTTTTCTGATGTGGAATCAACTGAAGAAAATTTCCATCCAAATGTTTCATTTGTGATTTGTTTGTCAATGGCCTCATTCGCATTTATTCCATTTTTCCAAAGATATCTCCAATCAGCAGAGTAGTTTATCATGTCTAAGAATTTTCTTCAAGAAGGTGGTAGAAATCAGCTAAATACCTAAAAAAATATACATATATAATATAAGTTATGGTTTCATTATAATTAAATGTTTATATTAGATACATTTTTAAAAATTATAAATTTTTTGTAAATAAATACATGTAAATACTTTGTTATTGTACACAAAAGACTTTTTTTTAAATGTATTGTATAAACAGCATTGAGCCCGGTACAAGTTCAGTTAGGCTTATTTTAAATTAGGTTAAAAAACATTGTAATTTAAATATTATTTTGTAAATAATAAATATAATTATAACTGAAGATTGTCAATTCATCCATTATTATTTATTTGAGAAAGAGTTGGCCGGAGGTGTGCTCAAATTAAATATTATATATTATAATAGTATTTTACTGGATATACCTGTATAATATTATATAATTTGACTACACCCCGATCAACTCCTTCTCAATTTATAATCGCAGTCAACCATTTCCACACTATTATTATTTACAATTTAAGGTAAACGTACCAGTAATAGAGAATATTCAACTCCATAACCGATAATAACCTTTATATACCAAAAAGAGAGGCATATATGAGTATATTTGGAACTAGAACACTTAGGAGGGTGATGGCTATAGGGTGTGTTGCAGTATTAGTTATCTATTATTAATTTAATTTGACTATCTTCTTCAGCTGCTTTGCTTGCTGAAATAGAATAATAAACAGAATTTATTTTATTATTTATTTAAACAACTATAATTGAATTTCATATCAAAATACAGTTACGACATTACTTGTGGATGAATAATTTGATGAAGAATCATATTCAGATGGAACTGGCTCCAACTGTGGATTAAGAAGGTCCAATAATTTCGCTTTAGATTAATCAATTTTATCTGGTACAGAGGGACCTCCTCCAGTTTTGTAGAACTCAGACTAAACATATCACAATTTTATATTTATTATAATTATAATTGTACTTACATTTACATTATTTAACTACAATAAACATTCGCTTTCTAAAAACAAAGCTAACTTCACTTTCACCACTATCATTCTAACCCCCTCAATTGTTTTTGATATGAAATATTTTGATGCAGCTACCTTGTCTTTTTTCAATTTCTTCTTAAAATTCACATCGGCTGTCTCCAGTTGAGCAGGTGATCTAAAGCCATTGTTGGTGGTATTAATTGCTTTTGCAACCTGCACCCATGCAAACGTTTTTTCTTAGCTTGTTAACCCACCAGTTTTTTTTTTTTTTCTATTATTCTGAAATGTTCAGATATTATGGAAACCAGTGACTGTTTTCCACTTTCTGAAAAATTGCTTCCTCTTTCTCTTTTTTCCATCTTCATTACAATAAATATCAAGTTGTTACAAATAAATTAACACCTAGATATTTATAAATATCACACACACTATACACTGTTTACATGCAAGTGGAAGGAAGGTTTCATAATATAAACCAAGTTCCGAATCTCAACAATTCTTTTTAAAATACATCATAAATATGATGACATCACACACTAACACCATGTTAACTAACTCTATTTAAAAATTGTTTGGAGAAACTGGATCTAAATTTTAACATTGGTTAAGTTTTAATGAATTATTTAACAGAGAAGGTTAAATTTTGAAATGTTTATTCATCATTAAATGGTTTGATATTTCTTAGTTTCACTTTTTGGAGACTTTATTTTGGGTATTTTAATTATATAAAATCCTACTTACCCCCAAAACCAGAATGTCTATTATTAGAACAAAATATGCTGTCAGAATTCTTTAAGTTTTTCATGAATAATTAACTACGTAATTGACTCTATATAAAAAAATGTGATAAATGGCTACATGTACTGTCAATTAAACCCATCTATAGGGATCCACCTTCAGAACTTCAGCTGTAGTTCAAATTAATGTTGAAAATTTCTCTTAAAGTGTATATTATCGGTAGATTTCCCTTAATTTTTATTATTTAGATGGTATAAGTCTTATTATGTAATAGTGATACAATCATAATCCACAATATAATAAAAAAAAATTGTAGATAACAAATCTTCATAAAAGCAAATTGAGATGTAACACCAGCACATATAATGATCTGAGATATTTAACCAAGTTTAGTCCTGTTTTTACATAATTTCTAATGCATTAAATTTACAGTCCATTTACTATTTATGAGATTGGTAACAAACACATATAAAGTAATTATGAATAAATGGGAATTTTATTCAATAAATTGTACCGAATATGATTCTTGGTATTTTTATTTCAATTTTACATTGTCCAGTTCCAGTTACTACCAAGAAGTTAGTTATATGTAGTTTTCTTTAATTTTAAGATTTTTGTTCTTGTTATTAGAAATGTTTAAGTAGAATATGTAACATAGTTGAACAAATCAACTTTCATAGTGTTCGAGATCCATCAGATGGATTGCTTATGTTGGATGATTAAGAAACATTTTATTATAAGCAGAAATAATGTAAATGGCAAACAAGTATTTTTTTAAAGATCAATAAATGTATAATTTGATAAAATAGATGTATGGAAATTGTATTCTTTATGTAGTAAACATATATTTTAAATGAGCATAATATAAGTGGTTATTTTGTATTTGATGTGATGTTTGTATTTTTGCAAAATGTATACTAAATAAACTTGTGTAAAAGTTTCATAGATTACAACGCAAATATACTATTTAAAAAATAAAATTTGAACTTCAGACTGGATTTTCTTTTCTTCCTTTTCGCTGATACGAAAAGCAATATAACAGAAATAAAATACCTAAAGATAAATTAAGCAATACATAAAATAAAAAAATGTGTTTCTATTATTATTTATATTCCTGTCTCTTACTTTATCTTAATTCTTAATTTATTAAGTTTTTCTTTTTGTGATTTACTTCTGTCTTTATAATATATACATACATATCTATATCTTTTGTACATCTGATTTAAATTCAGCATTGAAGGATACCCAGAAGTTTGGATTGAAATGTTGGCTTTTGTAATAAAATAATAATGATTAAATCCTAAATATTTATTTTATGATATGCATCACAATCAATCGACTGCAATCAAAATATCCTACAACATTAACTTTGAACAGAGGATAATTTTTAAATTTTATTTTAAAAATGTTACGGTTTTAACTATCAAAAGATTTATAAATGGAAGCCAGCATTAAACTCAAAAAGAATACTTTGAATGAGAAAACTAAGAATGAATTATTCCCTATGAACATGAATAGTTTAATAAATAAAAAGATCAATATTCTTGCAACCTTTGAAAACAATTTAAGCAAAGTGTTTTAATTTGAATCAGATATACATTCAAATAATATAAACCTGTAGTTTTAGTACATACAGCTATGAGCATCTAAGTGTTTAATAACAAAGAAAGAATTGGATACACTAAAAAGAACCTGTCACAGAAACACTTCTATTTCTGTTTATCATATAAACTAAATGGTAAACTATGAAATATGAATATATTTAAAAATACTTAACTATTACGTATCCATAATATTTATAAACACAGTTCACTGTTGATATCTCTAGATGCCTTCAAAAGTTCATTTCACTCACTATGAAAACTTTTGAAAAATCGCTATAAATATTTAAACTAAATTATGTAATTTCTAATGAAAAAGACATTACAAAATAATATATTATTTAAAACATTACAGAACAGACACTAACTCAAATTTATGTAATTTCCAACTATATATTTCAAGAGGAAAACAAATAACAGGACTTAGTACAGACAATTTTAACTTTTTAATACATTATGGAAGAATTTGCTGGGCTGTCGCATTAAGAATTAAATAAAAAAAACATTTAAACCATAACGCTTTGCAATTTTAGTAATCATTTTGAAGTTAAAACAAAGTTTGAATAATAGTTTCTATTACCGATTGAAGGTAGTTGCACTGTCAAACACAAATTTTAAATAATAGTATTAAAATCTAAAAAAAAAAGTGTCGCATCATCCAATAAATATTAAAATTGACACTAATAGTTCCAAAATCTGCTAAAAAAGGTCAGAAATATCCTAGAGAAGGAACATGAAACTTGTACGTACTTCTCAATGATGACACAAGAGACCAGCACTACTATCCACCAAACAATATAAAATTGTAGTTCTAGAATCCGCAATTAAATAGCTGCAAAGAAAACTTTTTTAAAAAAAAAAGAATCATAAACAAGAAACAACTTGCCCAATCAAATTAGGTGAAAAAAAGGGTCTAGTTTGCTAATGGTCGGGTAATTCAAATTTCTTTTTTACGCTATTAATGATTATTTAAAAAATCTAAGTTTCTGCCCTTGAACCCATGTGGGTTAGCTGCAGTGCTCCAGAAACCATTGAAATTTCAAACTTTATTTGGTTTACGCTAAATATCTCCTTTTTAAAGCAGCATAGATAAAAAATGGTTATATTCAACGTATTAATTTAATGAATGGTAAAAATAACACCTAATTAGAATATTTGTCATTATTTTTCTGATATTTGGACGAAATGAGAAAAAATGGGAAGCATTTCGAATTTTTCAAACAATTCTAAAATATTTTGATCGATTCACTTGAAATAAACAAAGTTCTTTTATAAAAGGTGAAAATATGTAGATTTGAGGTGAAATAAGAAAAAAGGAATTACTTAAATTTTTTTGAACGTATTTTGAATATACCTGATCAATTTCCAGTATTAATAAACAAGCAAAACAAAAAAATGGTTCCAGAAGCGTCTGACGCACGAATTCCGGGCTGAAAATCTTTATTTTGTATCAGGAAGGTAGAATATAACAGGAGCTCACTTTTCGGGGCTGTCCTGATACCGATAGTGCTGCTATCTATTGGCAGAACATAGTAACTACGAATTTTATTCGAATTTCTAGCGAGAAAATTGTCAATTTGTATCAGGATAGCGGGAAGTCGAAGGAGCTCACTTTTCGAGTCGACCAGGAGTCTTTGTAGTACTGTTATCTAGCGGCAGGTCCTAGAACTACGATTTATTACCTCGTTGGATAGTGCTGGCCTCTTACGGCTGTTTTAAGAACTACGTCCAAGTATGTTTCCTAAGGTGGGTCCCTGGATAGTGCTGCTATCTTGCGGCAATTTTAAAAACTACGTTCAAGTTTCACGTTCCTTACAGTAGCTCCCTGGATGGTGCTGCTATCTTGCGGCAATTTTTTGAACTAATACCGTTTTCTCGTCCCCTGGATAGTGCTGACCTCTTTTAGCGGTTTTAAAAACTAATATTTCACTTTATATGTTTATTGGATGGTGCTGCTCTCTTTTATTGGGTTTTTAAACTATTATTCAAACGGTTTGTTGTTTGATAGTGCGTCTACCTTCATATAGTTATGAAAACTATTAAAAATTCGTTTAAACTTATAAACGATCGCTAAAATTGTTGTTTTCGCCTCGTTATATTGTTTAAATGTTTATTAATTTAATTCTTAACGCAGCAGGCCTCCACAACCTTTCATAATATATTAATAAGTTAAAATTGCATGTAATAAATTCTCTTTTCTTTCTGAAGTATATTGTCTTAGCTGTTATCTAGCCTAAGTTAGTGTCTGATTCTTTCATGTCCTAAGCAATAAATTATTTTATAATGTTTTTTTCATTAGAAATTACAGAATTTAGTTTAATTATTTATCGCTAGTTTCTCAAAAGTTCATATAGTGAGTGAAGTGAAGTTTTGAATGTAGAGGTATCAACAGTGAACTGTGTTTATAAATACTGATATGTAATAGTTGTGTTATGTATTTTTAAATATGTAGTAAACCATAATAGACGAAAGCAAATAAATATATTTTTCTGAAGTGTATGGAGTGAGTGAAGAGGAGTTTTGAATAGATCTAGTGACAGTGAATTGTGTTTATAAGTATTATGGATATGTAGTAATTTTGTTATGTATTTATGTATATGTATATGCTAAAACAT